ATGCATTGCTTTCATGTTTTTATTTAACACGTTTAGTGATTTCCAATTTAAATGTTACATAATGGAACAAGTAATGTACAGCCAGCTGTTGAAATACTTCATTATCTTCTAAGTGCAAACTTAACCATGTCTCATGCTTTGACATTTCATAATGAATACTATTCTGCCTGCTTCATAATTTAGAAAATAAAATAACTACCTGAAAGTTTTTCTAATCTACTATACAAAAAAGGCATCTCCAAAGTCATCAAACACTTATTCCAAAACCTAAATCTCTTAGCCAGTAATTTTTTAAGTTTTATGATTTGATGTAATATGCCATTTTCATAGAATTTCTTGTTGAAAAAAATTGATAAAATTTTGATAAATTATTTTCTGAAGAATTACAAAATATTTTGCGGATTGAAAACTTGTCCCCTGTCCTTAGCTCCATTAAGAGAGAAAATATTGCAATGTGTTATGAAAAGAATACTTTACATATATACTAAGTCTGTCCTCACAATAATCTAGGCCATAGGTAATTATGTTAAATCTAGTACTATTAGGTCTTGCTGCTAGGATTTTTTTCCATGATAGTGATAACTGGAATGTTGTCTATGCCTTGTTCACAGTTCCTTATTAGCTAATCAGCATCTTAAGACTTAGTACTTTAACTTTTTCTGGTAAAAATCACTTCTAATAATAAGATCCCCATTACTAATTGCAAATGTTCGAGAGAATAACTGACTGTATTTATCCATTTGGGTCCTTCAGCATAGACTGTGGAATTTCTGCTATGAATTATTAAAATCTGAAATTGTATTATCTTAACACTTGGTATCCTCTGCTGTATCTAACATCAAATCCCTTCTCTCTAATTTAGGGTTTTACAGTTCAGTACTTGTTCTCTCCCTAGTGGGGATGTGCAAATCCAGTTTCATTTCCTTATTTTTCTCCACATTGCAATGGAGAATGCTAGCATTTGTCTAAAATCAAGATATTGGTCATTTACAAAATATACCTAACCAGCATTATAGTAGCATGGAAGTGAACAGAAGAAGTTGGAGGCCCAGCTAAATAGAACAAAAATTTTAAAAATACCCACTCTAAGTTGTCAGACTGGATTGTTTTAACCTGATTGGACTGTGAATCTTACACTACAAAGTATTGTGATTTTATTGATGAAAAAAATATGAAAGTTTAAATCTATGTACAAAACAAGATGCAGCCTAAGTTGTCATATTATAAACCAGTGAGAGATAATTCTGGAATTTAGTTAGAGTAATATGGAGGATGGTAGACTTAGGAACACTGTACAAAGTATAAAAATACCTTTTAACATGTTGCTGATCTCTAAATTTTATGATTCAATAATATTTTGTAAATAAATTAATGTTACTAACATTTTCCTTGGGCCATTTATTACTTAAGGTGATGTGATTATTTAAATATTGGAAAGACCCTTAATACATAAAGGAATAGTTAAGATAATAATTTGAAATAGGATTGTAATTTGAGCTCCCAGATGTTTAAATCAGAGAGAAGTACAGACATATAATAGTTCTTATCATCCCAAAAATAGCTGTTGACACAATTTAATGGGATGCGTCTTGTTTTGCTCTGTCTTCTAGGTTATGTATTTGTGTAGATATGCTAAGCATTTGGTTCTTTTCATGTCAAACTTTTTTTCATAAATGCTTTCTAAAAAGGTGTTAAACTAACTCAGGAAGAATTTACATATTTTAATTTCTGAGATTCTGAAAACCATTTGACATATACATATTTAACTGTAGTTGCATGGTGAACTGTAGTTCCTTGGTGTTCCCAAGGAATAATAAAATATTTAGTTGCATTAAAAACCTGCATAAAAACTGGATACAAAATGAAAATCCTGAAGGATAGTTTATGATGCTGCCAAAAGCCTAGCGAAATTTTAAGTTAGGTGCATGCACATAGTTATTATTCTGTGCAATGATTATATCCAATCTATGCTTAAATTAGTTTATGCCATAAATACATATTCATATAATAGAACAATTACCCAAATTTAAAGAAAAAAATCTAAGATATCCAGATATCTTTCAATTTAGTTATATTCTTCAGTAATGATGAAATTTGTCGTTCATGCTTATTATTTTTTTAAATGTACAACAGATCTACAGACACAAAAATTTACCTAAGGAAAGAAGAGCTTTTGTAACAAGAAAATATAATCTAACAGTAGATCAGTAAGTATTTAGTGGAAAATCTAGGGCACAAAGTAGAGAAGGAATAATAAAACACCTTCTGCTTACTCCTAGGCACAAAGTAGGGCAAAATTGCATCGACTTTCACATGTGAGATTGTTGGGAAGCCTAGGAAGAAGGAAAGAGAGAGATTCTTGCAAATTATTTTTTTTCTTTTGCTGAAGTTGAAAAATGATGAGGTACTTGGGGACTTTGCTAGAAATTCAGTTTATGTATACAATATTTACAAAAGATCACAGAGAATCTCCAGGTCTGAAAGAAAGTCAGAACTCATTTCTTCCAATGTTTTATTCAATTCTGAATATATTTTATTTGCCTAATTAAATAAGCAAAATTATAAATGATCTCCAGAACTGTCATATAATCTCCAATATAAAATTTCCTTTGATAGGTAAGGTGATGTTAAGTTCTTGAAGTACATCTGTTGTGTAAACACTGTGAGCTGACAGTGGGAACACTTTGTGTCATTTACTGAAATGAGTAACTCACAGCAAGATGTCAATGTTTTTATGGGAGACTAGTACTGTGAGTAATTATCGCCTGGCTTTAATGCCTTGAAAACATGAAATGTGTCATATACAACCAAAATTGAAAATTTCAGATTCTTTTACAGAATCATTTTAACATTTTCAGCTGATAATAAAATAAACATGAGAGAAGAACAAATAGACACAAAGAAAAATTCTTTAAAATCTTCCAAATGTCAAGTTCACTAGGTCATGCTTAAGAAATTATATTGTTTTATTTTGTTCGTGGGATTGATCTAAGTAGCTGTATAATGAGCCAGTAGATTCCAACTTATAAAGCAAAATATTTTTCTTTTCTTTTCTTTTCTTTTTTTTGCAACAGTGTTTTACTCTGTAACTCCAGATAGAGTGCAGTGGTGTAATTGTCGCTCACTGCAACTTGAAACTCCTAGGTTCAAGCGATCCTCTTGCCCTCAGCCTCCTGAGTAGCTGGGACTATAGGCATGCACCACCACACCTGGCTAATTTTTTCTATTTTTGGTAGAGATGGGGTCTTTCTCTTTCTCACACTGGTCTCAAACTCCTGAGCTCAAGCTATCCTCCCACCTTGGCCTCCCAGAGTGCTAGGATTACCCCACCCGGTCTACATATTTTCCTAAGTCATATTTTTGTGTTTGTGTGTAAAAAACATGCCGACTATTTTAAAATTTACTAAATGTATTTTATGAAAACCTACCATGAACTCTTTAGGAAGGGTGGATTTACTAATTGCTCTGCATTAGTATCAGATGGCCGAAAACAGCTAATCAACACTATTCAAAGTATTATTCCCCCAAATAGTAATACTCTTCTAATTAAAACATATTGAGATTAATTTAGTTTTATTTTAAGCATAGTAAAGTATATTCATTCTTTGTGTATTTGCTGAATTACTAATTTATGTCTTTTTTAAAAAGGTCAGCATCTTTCAGATTTTATATATAATGTTAAAGAAATTTCCTAAAACTAAATAATAAAACAAAACTGGGTTCGGTGCAGTGGCTCACACCTGCAATCTCAGCAATTTGGGAGGCCAAGGCATGTTGCTCCATGAATTAATATAGATGTGTTTGCAGACAGGATTTGTCTTAGGAGTTTTGCAGCGCTTTGCCCTGAAGGAATATGTGAACGTGTTGGGTTGCATTTCAAATGCCGTTACACTCGGAAGGGCGTCTCTGAAAGACAGTAGCGGCTGTATCCCACAAGGCGTCGCGTTTCTCAGACCTAAAGGTTTGGATTTGCTTTGTAAAGCAAAGTGAACCTGTTAAAAACTACAGGATGAGAGCTGACAATGGAGTGCCCCCCGGAACAGACAGCTCCCCGAATGGCTAAAAGAAAGCTCCTGTTTAAACACTCCAGACTACCTGTCTCCATTCACAATAACCTAATAAAGATAGAGCCAACATATCTCTGTTTAACCCCTCTGTTAAGTGATAAATTTACCTTAGAATGTAGAAGTTAATCTTTGAAAGATTTTATAACCATTTGTTCACATAGATAGAATTAGTTAAAGGATCTGTAGAAGCCTTTTGAAAATCTGTTAACCTGAGAGGAACTATCTACTGTTATGTAAATCTGTTAGCCCTGGCAACTAATCACTATTCCCTATAAG